AACCGCTCCTTGGCATGGTGCTTCTTTCGTCCAAACCGCCCCAGTTGGTGCGGGAGCTGGCGACCAAAGACTGGCGACCTAGAGGGATTTAAAGGTCCGCATCGACTGGCAACTCTTCGATCATCATTCCTCCCCTTGCTGTAACCTCAGTTCCACTCCATAGAGTGCATGTCTTGACCGAACCACCCTTGTTTCAGGTCAACCAATCAAGGTCAACCAGTTGGACTCCCAAGGGTTGTCGAGTCGCCGTCCATTCCCACCACCAGCGTCGACCCACGCCCGCGCCCGCGCCGCCCGCGCCGCCCGCGCGCCGCGCCTGTGCGCGCCATCGAGCGTAACGGGGGTGACAAGCCCAAGTGGCCCAAGTCCAAGATGAAGACCAAAGGATCCATCCGAGCATATGACCGGAGTGAAATGGACGAGCCCATATGAAGAAGATCCAAGACCAAGGCCACCAGCTCAAGATGCCCAATGCTTTGAGTCAACAAGAAGAATCCCAACATGGCGGAGTCCAGCAAGGATAGGGAGAAGCCCAAGCAAGCGATGCCGAACACAGAAGAGGCGAAGCCCATGTGGACCATGCTTTGAACCAACGAGTTGGAGTCTAAGTGCAAGAAGTCCAAGACCAAGAGCCCCAAGTTCAGTCGCGAAATGCTACGAATGGACAAGATCAAGCCCAGATTCACATGGTCCAAGGCCAAGAGACAGAATCCCGGACGTGACAGTCCAAAGGCGAGGAAGGCCGAGTCCACATGTCCGGAGCTTCTCAGTAAAACGAAGAAGCCCAGATGCAAGAGGTCCAGGATGGGCAGAGAGCTACCACAGTGTGCAAAGGAGCGGGTGGAGAAGGAGGAGTCGCAGTGTGCAAGGTCCAGGATGAATGAAGGTAGCCCGGTACGCACGAGGCTTCGAGTCGATGAGCTCAAGTCCAAGTGTAAGAAATCTGACACCAACACGCAAGAGCCCATGTGTCCCCAGCTACGAGTGGATACAGACGAGCCTGAATGCAAGGAGTCCAAGACTGATATGGCGAAACCCATCCAAACAGAGCTTCGAGCCAACAGGAGGCTGTCGAGGTGGATGAAGTCCAACAGAAGCGCTGAGGAGCCAAAGGCTACCCTACTCGGAGCCAACGACACCAGGCCTGATTGTCCCGAGCTTCGCATGAGAGGCGACGAACCCATCACCACCAAATCTGACGCCAAAAGGCTTGGGCCCAAGCGTGCGTTTTGGAACGTGAGTAGGGCTGACCCGAAGCAAATCAAACTTCGAACAGGCAGTGAGGGGTCCAAATGAAGGAAATCTGACACCAAAGTGGCAAGACCCAAGTGAACCATACTTCTGATCAACACCACGAATTCGAGATGTACAAGATCCAGGATGAAGAGTGGCGACCCCGGGCGTGCGTTGGCGCAGATCGACGACGTGAAGTCAGATCAACCATGGCTTCTCAGTAGCACAGATAGGCCGAGCATCAGGAAATCCAACATGAACGCCAAGAATTCGACGCATGCAAGCGATCGTGAGGACAAGGAGAAGCCCAAAAGTGCAAAGTCCAAGATCAGGGAGGAGCTTTCTGGTCTACTGCAACTCCATGCAGATGTGACGCTGCCCAGTCAAGCGGAGCTTCTCGGCAGCAGGCTGGATCCCGGGTGCAGGGGGTCGGGTGCCGGCATTGCAGAGTCGAAGTGAGAGGAACTGCGGACGGGCAAAGTGAGGCCCAAACTGCCAGGGTCCAGCGAGGACATGGGGAAGCCAAGTTGGCACTTTCCAAAAACCAAGGAGGCGCTGCCCAAGTGACACATGGATTGGAGGGAAGGTGAGAAGCCCATGTGGAGGAGGTCCAGCATTAAGACTGCAAGGCCAAGTCGACCAAAGGATCGGAGTAAAATCAGTGGCCCAACATGCATGAGGTCCGGCAAAGGCATCAGGAGTCCCACTCTTGTAAAGCTCCTTGACAGCAACAAGGACTCCAGATGTAGGAGATCCAAGGCCAACACGACCAACTCCATCCATGCGAGGCTCCTCGTCGAAGGCATGGGCTCAATATGCAAAGGGTCGATCGCCGGCGCCGGCGGGTCCAGTTGCGCGAAGCTCCGCGGCGAGGGCGTGGGGTCCAGCAGAGCGAAGTCCAAGGGAGGCGTCGAAGGGCCGAGGCACGTCATGCCGAAGGCGGAGAACTGGAAGCCGAAGCGGCCGAGGCTACGGATGAACGTGGCCAAGTCTAAATGCGTGGGGTCCAGGGTGGATGGGGAGAGATCAAGCTTCATGCGCTGGAAGATGGAAAAGGCCGAACCCAGCTGGGCAGGGCTGTGAAGCGAGATTGACAGGCCTAGGTGCAAGAGGTCCAGAGCTGGAAGTGCTGGCCCGGGCCATGCCATGCTATGGAGCGAGAGTGGGAAGCCCAAGTAGGCGCTGTCCAACAGTGAAGGTGATGAGCCACATTTACTCATGCCGAAGACTAGAGAGGCGAATCCCAAGCAGAAGGAGCTGCGTAAAGACAGGGTGAAGCCCAAGCGTAGGAGGTCTGACACCAGCGAAGCCAAGCCTGAGCGCGCGGAGGAGCGCAGGGACGACACGGGTCCCAATAGGGCGTAGTCTAAGGCTGAGACGCTGAAGCCCAAGCGTGCCAAGCCAAAGACAGAGAAGGCCGAGTCCAGACATGCAAGACTTTGAAGCAATGAGGGAAGGCCCAGATGCAAGGAGTCCAAGACCAATATCAGCGACTCGGATTGGGCCATGCTTTGTGCCAACATCGAAAACTCTGAATGAACAAGGTCCAGCACCGACAGGATCAGTTCGGGACATGACAGGCCAAAGGCTAAGAAGGTCGATCCGAAATGCTTAGGGCTTCGGGGCAGCAACGGGGATCCCATATGCAAAAAATCCAACACCAGCGCGGCGAGGCCCACGTGGGCGAGCGAACGGATAGACATCGGGGAGTCCAGGTATCCATAGTCCAAGAGGAGCAAAGGAGGTCCAACACGAGACAGTCCAAACAATGAAGAGCAGAAGCCAAGCCGAGCCATTTGCCTCAAGAGCAAGGTGAAGTCAAAGTTCGCAAAGCTTCGAACCAACGAGATCAAGCCCAAATGCAAGAAGTCCAAGATCAACAGCAAGAAGCCAAATCTCACCGTGCTTCTGGCCAACAGCGGCAGCTCTAAGTGTACAGAATCCAAGGCCGACAAGATCAATTCCATCCGTGAGATGCCGAAAATCAAGAAGGCCAAACCCGGTTGCAGGAAGCTTTGGATTGAAAACAGCAAGCCGAAGTGTGCCATGTCCATCACCAACAACAAGAAGCCGGGCCTTACCCCACCGAAGACCAAGGAGCATGATCCGATTTGGCAGAAGTTTTGGATAGACAGTGAAAATCCCGAATGCAGGAAGTCCAAAATCAACAATGCAAACCCAAGTCTCACCATGCTCCTAACGGACAAAAAGCTGCCTGGAAGCGCGTGATCCAGCGATGACACCATCGACTCAGAGCGAGACAGGCCGAAGGCCAAAAACATCGACTCAGATCGGTCAAAACTCTTTAAGGAAGTCGTTGGCCCCGGGTGCAGAAGGTCAAGAATAGACATCAAGAATCCCACGTGAGCCATACTGCGCAAGGACATGAAGGAGTCGAAGGCCACCCAATCCAAGGCCAAGAGGGACAAGTTGAAGCGAGCTGAGCCCAGCAGTAAAAAGGCGAAGTCGAGAGTCGAGGAACTGTGTGAAAACGACATGAATCCAAAGCATCCAAAGCTGCGCACCAGCAACACCAAGCCCAAATCTGCAAAGTCCAGGATCGAAGAGAACAAGTCCGATCGCGATCGACTGGACGTGAACGTGAAAAAGCCCAAGTGTGAGAAGGATTGCATGGATAGGAGGAATTCAAGGTGTAACAAGTCCGGCGCGGACAAGCTGAATCCTAGCCTTGCGAAGCTCCTCAAGGACAGCAACGGGTCGAAATGTGCGTGGTCCAGCACCAGCACTGTGAAACCCAGTCGACACCTTCCAAAGATCAACGAGGAGAAGCCGAAGCATGCGAGTTGCCTCAAGAACACGGGCGGGTCGAGATGCAAGAGGTCCAAGGCTGAAATCACCGGACCGGACCATGCGCGACTGCGTGTGAACGTGGCCGAGCCCGAGTGCGTGGGGTCCAAGGGCAAAGAGGAGGAGCCACAGCGGGTCATTCCGAAGACCGAGCAGGAGGATCCAATGCGTGCAAGGATTCGAATGGGCATCAGGGAACCCAAATGCAGGAAATCCAAGACGAACATGGCTGAGCCGGGGCATGTGCAGCTTCTGATGGACAAGAAGAAGCCCATGTGGACACCATCAAGGATCGACAGCATGGAGTCCAAACGAGCAATGCCCACCAAGAAGAAGGGGCTGTCAGAGCATGAAGGCATTCGCAAGAACAGGGAGGACTCAAAGCTTGCAGAGCTTCGTGCCAACAACATGGGTCCTGAATGAAGGAAGTCCAAGGCTGAGGCCGCCAGGTCCGATCGTGCACAACTGTGTGCCGACAAGGAGAAGTCCAGGTGCACAAAGTCCAAGACTGGCATCGGAAGTCCTAAGCATGCAATGCTGAAAGCCGAAGAGGTGAAGCCTAGACGTGAAAGGCTTTGCACCAATGAGCTGCTTCCAAGTGTCAAGTGGTCCAGAGTCAACATGACAAGTCCTGATCGGCTCGTGCTGTGGATTGACATGAACAAGTCAAAGCACACATGATCAAGAAGCAACAGAAAACTATCCGATCGAACTGTTCCGAGGACGGACATCGTGCTGCCCAGTCTGGTGAGGCTTCGAAGAGAAATGGAGAATTCAAGATGCAGAAAGTCCAGCACGAACGAGACCAAACCCGAACACACAGAGCTTTGCACCAACAAGAAGAACCCCAGATGCACAGAGTCCAAGACCGGCAAGAGAAAACCAAGTCACATAAGGCTTTGCAGTGGCACGCTGAAGCTCAAATGTGTGAGATCCAAGGCGAAGAGCGCCGAGTCAATTCAACACAAGCCCATCACCGGAAAGCTCGAGCCAGGTTGAATGTAATTCCTGAGTGACATGAGCAAGCCCAAATGTAAGAGATCCAAGACCAACAAAGCTGGGCCCATGCATGAGTAGCTGCGCGAGGACAGCATGAGCTCCAGATGAAGGAAATCCAAGACCGAAGCCGCGAAGCCCAAGTGGGAGAAGCTTCGCACAAGCAAGGGTAGCTCCAAATGTGCAATGTCCGAAATGGGCAAGAAGGGGCCTGAGCAAGCACACCCAAAGACCAACAACAAAGAAGCCAATCGCATGTAGGCGTGCAGGAAGACCGAAGATCCCAGATGGAGGAAGTCCAAAGCCAACACCAAAAAGCTGGTCCGTGCCACGCTGTGCAATGAAGTGGACAATCCCAAGGTCACGAAATCCGACACCAGCGAAAGCAAGTTCAAGCGCACGCATCCAATGGCCAAGACCGCCGAGCCCGCGCAGTAGAGATTGCGCGAAAACAAGAAGAATCCCAACTTTAAGAGGTCCAGGACCAACAACAAGAAGCCGAGCCATGCCACGCTGTGCGAGGACGAGAAGAACTCCAGATGCACATGGTCCAAAGGTGATAGTGAGAGGTCCAGATTGCAACCTCCCGTGACTAACAGTAGCAGCTCAATCCGCTGATAGTTCCTGGCCGAGATGGAGGGCGCGAACTTGGCGAGGTCCAACACCGGCATGGCCAACCCGGCCCGTGCGAGGCTCCGTGCCGGCGGGGAGAAACCCGGGTGGAGGAGGTCCGTGGCGGATGAGGCGGAGCCGAGGCAAGTGAAGCTGCGGACGGACAAGAACAAGCCTGGATGTAAGAGGTCCGGGATGAAGATCGAAGAGTCCAGATGACCAAGGGAACGTATTGGCAAGAAGAAGTCCGAGTGAGACCAGTCCAGAATCAGCGCCGAGGAGCCGGGATGGAAAGAGCTTCGTAGGAGCGTGGACGATCCGGTATGTGCAAAGTCCAAGATCGAAGCCGCTGGCTCAAGGTGTGCATGACTTCGCAAAGGCACTATGGACTCGATCTGCACAAAGTCCAGAGTCGGCAGGATGGAGTCGAGGCAAGCCATGCCCACCATTGAAGTGAAGGAACCTGAACATGAGGATTGCCTCAAAAGCAAGAAGAATCCCAATTGCAAAAGGTCCAAGGTGAATAGGAAGCTCCCCGACCTCGCCGTGCTCCGCACGAGCATCACGAATCCCAAATGGACGGGGTCCAACACCGACGAAGCAAATTCCAAGCGAGCGACCCCTGCGGCGGGCAAGAAGGAGGCAGTTCGGCAATGGGTGTGTGGAAACGTGGAGAAGTCCAAATGCAAAGAGTCCAGGACCAACAAGCTCAAGCCGAAGCAGACCAAGCTTTGCACAGATGGCAAAAGGCCCAAATGCGTGCGGTCCAGCACTGGAGTGGTGAAGTCAAGACAAACTCGACCGAAGGCCAACAAGAATAAACTTGGTCTAGCCATGTTCTTCACAAAGACGGAAGAGCCAAGATGCAGGAAGTCCAGCATGGATGCTGCCAAGCCAGGGTGTGCATGGGACCTCACAGAAAGGGACGATCCTGACCTTAAGTAGTCCATGATAAACATGCCGAAATCAAGATAAGCAAAGCTTTGGATGGGAAGCGTCAGGTCAAGCATTGTACAGTCTGTGGCTGATAGGGAGAACACTGAGCCAAATCAGTTTAATCCAATCACAGAAGGACCCAAGTCAAAGCAAGCAGGACTATGCACCAACAAGAAGAATTCCAGATGCAGAAGATCTAGCACCGGCACCAAGAAGCCTGGTCGGGCATGGCTTCGGACCAACAAGCTCAACTCCAAATGTGCAAAGTCCAAGGCGAAAGGTGCCAATCCCATGCGCACGAAGCTCCTGGCCAGCGACAGCGAGCCCAGCAACGTCCGGTCCAGTACCAACGGCAGCAAGCCCACGCGTGCGGCGCGGATGGCTGGCGTCGAGGAGTTTGAACGAGCGGGTTGCCGCGAGGACGAGAAGAAGTCCAAATGGATGAGCTCCAAGATCGAAGCCGCCAACTCGGGCCTGGCAAGGCTTTTTGCCGACACCAGCAGGTCAATCTGAATGGAGTCCAAGAGTGGCAAGGGAGAGCCCAAGTGTGAGCGGCCCAAGAGAAAGAGAGTAGAATTGACCTGTGCCGTGCTGCGTAAAAGGAGTGAAGAGTCTGATTGCAAATGATCCAGCACCAGTAAGGACAACTCGAGCCAGGCGACGCCACAGGCAGATGTGAAGCTGCCAGGGCGAACATGGCTTTTGAGCGACAAAGACAGGTCCAGGTGTAAAAAGTCTAAGGCCAACAAGACGAAGCCTAAGCAAACGAGGCTTTGCAAGGGCGGAGTGGGTCCCGAGCTTGCCTTGTCCAAAACTGAAAGTATCAACTCAGGACATGCGAAGGAGCGCGAGGACGTCATAGATGCCGTGCTGACCACATCAAGTGTCAAAGGCAAGAAGTCGAGTTGAAGGCTGCCGGAGATCAAGAAGGTGAAGTCCGGGCATGCAGATTGCCTCAACAACGGTGCGAAGCCCAAATGAAGGAAGTCCAAGGCCAACATCGCCAGGCCCAAATGCACAGGACTCCGGGCCGACGAGGAGCTCTCCAGATTCACGCAGTCCGACACCAACACCATCAACTCTGGTCTGCTAGTGCTGAAGACCGACGGGATGAGCTCCAAGCGTGTGGAGGATCGCGTGGGCAGGTTGGAGCCCAGTTTCAGAAGGTCCAAGACCAACGCCACAGGGTCCAAACGCACGCAACTACGCACCAACGAGATGAAGCCCATTGAAACATAGTCTGAAGCTAAAGGTATGAAGTCAAGTCGAGACCGTCCAACGACCAATAGCATAAAGCCGAGTCAGATGAAGGATTGCAAGAAGGTGGGCGAGTCCAAATGCAAGAAGTCCAGGGCCAATGCGAAGGAACCAAAGCATGCGACACTCCGCAACAAGGGCAAGAAGCCGAGCTGGATGAGATCTAAAGTCAACAGGCTGAAGCCCAAGCGCAAGCGTCCGCATGGGAACACGGTCGGGTCAGAGCACATGTGACTCTTCAAGAAGACGGAGAATCCCAAGGTCAGGAGATCCAAGGTCAGCGCCACCGAGCCAAGACATGCGGAGCTCCGCGCCAGCAGCGAACTCCCTGGCGAAGTGCATTCGATCACCAAGGGCGAGAAGACGGAGCCAGAACGATTCAAGCCCACGACCGACGGCATGAAGTCCAGGCGGCAAAAGCTCCGGAGGGAGGTGCTCGAGTCGAGATGCGTGGAATCCAAGGCCAACGAGCAGGAGCCGAAGCAAGTGAAGCTGCGTGCGAATAAGGAGGAGTCTGAATGCAAAGGATCCAGCACGGACGAAGTGCTACCCAAAGCCGAACGGCTCAAGACCAAGAAGCTGAAGCCTAAATGGATGAGACTGTGCAAGGAAGGCATGAATCCCAAGTGCAGGAAGTCCAACACCAAGAGGCTAAATCCAAAGCGAGCAAGGCTCCTGGTCAACAAGAGCGGCCCAAGGTTTACCACATCCAATGCAGAAATGGTGAAGCCCATGTGGGCAAAGCTGTGAATCAAAGTCAAAGGTTCTAAGTGCAAAGAGTCCAGCGCTAGTAGGGAGGACCCAAGCCTTGAAGTGGAGAAGATCGATGAAGCTGAGCCTGAGTAGAGAAAGCTCCGCAAAGGAGTGGAGAATCCCAGATGCAAAAAGTCCAAGACTGGTGCTGCCAAACCCGTGCATGCAGAGCTGTGTAGAAACAAGGCCGGATCTAAGTGGAGAAGGTCCAGAGCTGATAGGCTTGATCCAGGTCGACTTCTTGACATGAGTGATGATGGGAAATCAGGCTGTGACATGGCTCGGGGTGGCAGCAGGAGTTCGGGATGAAGGAGATCCAAGACCAAAAGCGCCAAGCCCATGCAAACAAAGGATCGGGTCAACGGCAGGAATCCCAAGTTCACCGCATCCAAGACCAGCAGGATACTTTCGAGTCTACTGCAGCCCACAACCAACAGGCTGAAGCCCAGTCGCAAAATGGCTCTTGAGAAGGTCGACAAGCCAAAACGCCCATAGTCCGAGACGAAAGCCGTTGAACCCAACCTGCAAGAGCTTTGCACGGACGACGAGGATTCAAGAGTTAAGGCTCCCAAGACCGATGACGTACTTCCTAATCTGCAAGTGTCGAAGATCAACGACGGGGAGCCCAAGCAACTCATGCTGCGCGAGGATGTCAAAGGTTCGAGGTGCGCCACGTCTAAGGCCAAGGTTGATGAGCCCAAGCATGAAGAGCTCTGGATTGACAGCAAGAAGTCAAGCTCAACGAGGTCCAGCACCAGCAAGGTGGATCCTAACTGCAAGATGCCTATCGCGAATATGGAGAAGTCACAGCGGCCCCAAGATCTCGACGACATGAAGAAGCCCGGGCGCGCGTAGTTGAGTGCCAGCATGACGAAACCAGGCCTTGTAGGGCTTTGAGCCGGCAAGAAGGAGCCCAGAATGGTGCATTCAATCACTGAGAGCGAGAAGACCAAACCCATCCGCGTCAAGCCCACCACGGGAAGTGTGAAGTCAAGTCATGCAGGCTGCCGCGGCAATGTCGAGGATTCCGGACGTACATGGTTCAGGACCAACAGGAATGAACCAGGTCGGGAGCTGCTTCTCACCAACAAAAAACTACCCAAGAGGGTGTGGTCCGGAATTGACACCACAAAGTCTAGCCTTGAAGTGGAGAGAACTGGCAGTGAAAGCCCCATCTTGGCAAGGCTGTGTGAGGGAATCGAAAATTCTAAATGCAAGAGGTCCGGTACAGAGATGGCGGAATCCGCTCATGACATGCCGCGCAAGAAGAGCGAGAAGCCCAGGTGCAAAGGATCCAGCGCCGACAAACACGAGCCCGTGTGAACAAAGGATCGCAGCAACATGGAGCTGTCCAGGTGAATAAAGTCTAAAGCCAACAGAGTGCTTCCGCAGCACAAGAGGCTCCTGGTGAAGAGCGAGAATCCCGGATTCGTGGTCTCGATCACCGGCAACAAGGAGACGGATCCTGGGCGGTTCAAGCCAACCACCAACAAGGTCAAGCCAAGCTTCGCATGGCTTCGGACGGACATGATCGAACCCGATCTCACAGGATCCATCGCTGAAGGAATGGGTCCCAGTTGCACAAGCGACCTGATCGACATGGAAGGCTCTAGGAGCGTGTGGTCCAAGACCAACAGCATCAAGTCCACCCGCGCGGCGCCAGGGACCAATAAGGTGAAACCCAAGTGGCAGGAGTTCCGCGATGGCAGGGAAGAGCCCAAGTGCAAGAAGTCCGGGACAGACGTGCTGGAGTCGAAATGAACGTGGCTTTGCAAGGACAAGGAGAAGCCCAAGTGAGCCACGTCCGAGACGGAAACCAAGAAGCCGGGGTACAAGGAGCTGCGCAGCGAAGGAGGCAAGCCGAATTGAACGTGGTCCAAGGCCAGTAGGAAGAGCTCCAAGTTCACCAGACCACAGACCAAGGAGGTGAATTCGAGGTGAATCAAGGATCTCAAGAACAAGCTCAGACCTGAGGGCACGAAGTCCAACACCAACAGGGTGAACTCCGAGCATGCCTTTCCGAAGGCCAGCAGTGTGAACTCCATGCGTGTGGCGCTACGGATGGGCGGCGTGGACCCCGAGTGCAGGAAGTCTGACGCGAGAGGCGCGGAACCCGAGCGGGTGAAGGAGTGTGCCAATAAGGAGAAGTCTAACTGAACCCGGTCAGGCACCAGCAAGGAAAGCTCTGGTCTCGACTTCCCGAAGATGAACGGCATGGAATCAAGACGACTGTGGCTTCTCAGGAATAGCACGGATCCTGATCTCAAGAAGTCCAGCGCTGGCACCACCGAGTCGAGTCAACTGAGACTGTGCGATGAAATCAAGGACCCCAAATGCAGAAAATCCAGGACCAACAAGGCAGAACCCAGATGTGCAAGCGACTGCGAAAGCGGCAAAAGCTCTAGATGCAAGGAGTCCAAAGCAGGCGATAGGGATCCAATCTTCATGCGGCTCACCAGAGGTGGTGGAAACCCAGATCAAGTGAAGGATCGGACCAACAGGGTCAAGTCCAAGAGCAAATGGTCCAACGCCAGCAGGAAACTACCCAAGAGCGTCACCCCATAGGCGGATGACGGGAAGCCCAGTCTGGCAAAGCTCCTTGGCGAGCAAGTCGGTTCCATGTGCACGAAGTCCAAGACCGACAACAAGAAGGCCAGCTTTGACATGCCATAAACCGACGAAAAGGAACCAGGCCTTGCAAAGCTCCTCAAGGAAATCATCAATCCCAGTTGAGTCATATCCAAGGTCGACAAGGACAAACCAAAGTTCGACACCTTAAAGACCGGCAAATTGGGCTCCAGATGAACAAAGGATTGTGTTGGCGAGGTGGGGCCAGGGAACAAGGGGTCCAAGGCAGGGGGCGAGAAGCCCAACATAGATACGCCATAGGCCAAAGGAGAGAAATCAAGTCATGAGGGGCTCTTCGGAAGCATCAGTAGTTCCATGTGCACAGAATCCAAAGCCAACAACAGGAAGTCTGATCTGCTCAGCCCATAGGCAGAAATCGAACTGTCCAGCTAACCAAAGCTTTGCAGAAACGAGGTCGACTCGTAGCTGGCGAAGTCCAAAGTCGGTACTATGAGCTCCATCCGGGCCATGCTAAAGATCAGCGACGTCGACCCCGACCGCACCATGCTGCGAGTCGACGAGAAGAAGCCCAAGCGCACGTGGTGCAGCACCGACACCGGCGAGCCCAAGCGGCTGAGGCTCCGCGCGGAGAGTGACAAACCGAAGCTCGCAAGGTCCAGCACGGGTGAGATGGAACCCGATCGCGCGATGCCCATCAACAGCGGAGCCAGGTCCATCCGTGCCGTATCGCGCGGCAAGAAGGCCAGACCGGGGTGCAAGAAGTCTAAGACGAGCAGGAGAAAGCCCATGCAAGTCACTCCGCAGGCCAAGAATGCCAATTCAGTTCATGCCATGCTTTGGAGTAGCAAAAAGGAACCAACCCTTACGTAGTTCAGAATGAAGGTCGACAGCCCCATGCGAGAGAAGCTGCGGAGCAAAGGGGTCAAACCAAACTCGGCATAGTCCAAGGTCAACAGGATGAAGCCCAAGCGGACACAGCCCATGACCAGCAAGATGGAATCAATCCGTTCATAACTCCTGGCCAACGTGAACAAGGCCAAGTGTGCAAGGTCCGAGACCAACATGAGGGAGCCCAAGCGCGCGAAGCTCCGGAGCAAGGGCGACAAGCCCAGGTGCGCGAGGTCCAAGACCAGCAAAGCTGAGCCGCAACGCCCAGAGGATCGTGCCAACAAGGCGGAGTCGAGGCGTAAGGAATCCAGTACCAACAAGAAGAGCTCTGGCTTCGTCGAGCTAAAGACCAAGGACGCGGAACCCGAGCGCGCGCTGGACCGCGAGGACGGCGCCGGACCCGACCGCAGGAAGTCCGTGGCCGGCGCCGCAGAGCCGGAGCGCAGCAGACCGGAGGCGAAGGAGGCCAAGCCTGAGTGAACCACGGAGCGCATGGACGTGGAGGAGTCGGTTCTCAAGTGGTCCAAGGCCAATACTGAGAATCCAATGCAACTCATTCCACACACGAAGACAGTGAAGTCCGAGCAGGAGAAGGATCTGGTGAGTAGGGAACTTCCCGTTCGAGCAAAATCGATGGCCAAGAAGTTGGAGTCGGGGCAAACGAAACTCCTGACCAACAAAGAGAAGCCCAAGGTCGTATGGTCTAAGACCGACACCGAAGGCTCAAGTCGACATGTGCTGAGCACCAAAAGGCTCGAACCAAGACATCCAAGGCTTTGTGCCAAGAGGGATGATCCTAAGGAGGCAAAGTCCAAGGTCAATGAACTTGCGTCAAAATGAACCCTGTTCACCACGAACGTGGAGAAGTCCAAGTGATAGAACGACCTCAAGAAGAGCGAACTGCCGATCGCAGCCACGTCCAAGACCAACATGCAACTACCAAAGGTCACTCTGCTAATGACGGACAGCGTCAGGCCCAGCCGCGTGGGCTGCTGCACCAAAAGCAATGAGCCCAAATTCAAAGAGTCTAAGACCAACAGAAGCGGCTCGAAGCATGTGAGTCCTGAAATTGAAACGATGGGACCTGAACGCAAGAGCGCCTGCAGCAGCATGAATGGGCCGAAATGTGTGAAATCCAACACTAAAGGATTCCCGCCCATCTTGGCAAAGCTTCGCATGAAAGAGGCCAAGCCCAAGTGGAAGAGATCCAAGATCAAAAGGGAAAACTCAAAGCTGGCGCGTGATGAGGCGGACGTCAACAAGTCTGGCCGCATGGAGGAGCGCACCAACGACGAGCTGTCCAAGTGCAGGAGATCTGACACCAACAAGACCGAGCCTGGCCGCACGAAGCTTCGTGCCGGCAGCGAGGAGTCCGGCGCCGCGGCGTCCGAGGCGGGCGACGTGGAGTCGGTGCGGAGGGCACCCAGGAGCGAAGCAAGGAGACCGGAGTGAACGAATTGCTGGGAGGATAAGCTGAAGCCCAGTGAAGTAAGATCCGGAATCAGCAGGCTGAAACCAAAGCAGGTGACACCAGTCACAAACAAAGAGAGGCTGAAGCGTGCGAAGTGCCTCGAGGGCAAGGATGATCCACATTCGACTCTGTCCAACAGAAACAGCAAGAACTCAAGTCGTGCGCATCTCAATGCCAACGAAACCAAGCCGAAGCATACCATGCTGCGCAACGAGGGGGAAGGACCAGGAGTTACACGGTCTAAGACAAGCAAGCTGGAGTCAGAACGGCCCATGCCAACGGTTGAAGTCAAAGGGCCAGTACACAAGAGTTGCCGAATCAGCGGCAAGGAGCCAATGTGTTGGAAGTCCAAAACCAGCATCAGAAGTCCGAAGCAAGCCAAACCCAAGACCAGCATCATCGATTCACACCGTGTGTATGTGTGCATGGAAACCAAGGGTTCGAAGTTGGCGAAATCCACAGCGAAAGCTGTTGGCTCAAGGTGTACGTGGCTTTGAACAGGCAAGAGGAAGCCTAAATGCAAGAAATCCAAAGCCAACAAGGAGAAGTCGAAGAGTGTCTCTCCCAATACGAACATCATGAATTCCACGCACAGGTGGCTTTGCAAGGATGCTAGGAAGCCCAATCTGGCAAAGTCGAAGACTGACACCATGAAGTCCGGCTGGCAAAGGCTTCGTATCAACAAGGAGGACTCTAACTTCAGCTCCCCCAACACCAACAGCATCAACCCCGACCATACCGTGCCGCTCGCCGACATTGCAGGCGCCGGTTGCGTGAAGCTCCGCATGGAGGTCGTGGAGCCGAAGTTCGCGAGGTCCAGCGGCGAGGACGTGGAGCCCGTGCGAAGGTGCCCTCGCAGGAACGCCGAGCTACCCAGGTGTAGAAAGTCCAGGGCCGAGACCAACGAGTCCAGGCGCCCTTGGCTGAAGGTCAAGGAGGAAGAACCTCGGAAACCGACGGATCCAGCGGACGGAAGAACAAATCCTGGTAGAAGTGGAGTGACTAGTAGTAACAAGTGCCTTACTACTAGTAACAAGTGCCTTACTAATAGTAACTCTAGAAGCTATGAATTTAACTTAATATTGGAGTGACTTCATGGTTCTCCGTTCTTTCGAGGGCCATGTGTCCCAGCCCAGGTCGAGGTCCAGGCCCTTAAGAAGAGGCCCCTTCTCGGGCTAAGGGCTCCTTCTTGGTGGGCGGGAAGTGAAAATCGCATGGGTCAAACACCTCGATCTGCAGAAACTTGGGTGTTCTTCTTGCCAGGGATAATTTTTTGAGGTTCCCACTACAATCCCACACTACACGACACCCAGGTGAACCATGGCATCCGACCCAATGCTACTCGGGTCCTTTGCCCCACAAGCCCTAGAAGTCCAGTTCGACTATATTTTGACCGACTCAAGTGAAGGACATTCCTTGACTCGGGTCACCTAGACTAGTCAGACCATTCTTTTTATCGTCTTCGACTCCTAGGCAGGGTACATGATTCATCATCATGTATCATGACACCGAACTACACAAACCGACCCAAACACCGACGCTTTTTGAAGACATGTGTAGATCCCAAAGAAAGCCCCCCAAAAAAGTAGATGAAAAACCGAAGGCGAAGCGCGGAACTACGCTCCCGACTCCCTATGGATCGACATGACCTGACGGGAGATGGGACCATTGGCATGACGACGACCGGCGCGGGGGGATCAGTCGGTAGTGGACTGACTGGAGCGTAGCCTCCTTGAAACACTCATGGTTAAGTGGAATACAGCCTGCAGCGTAGAGGAATTCTGGTCTTCCTTTCAGGGGCCCACGATGTTCCACGTTTGCCCACGTTTTAGTTGGGATGCAGGGTACCCTACGAGTCCAGTCAGACCAGACCAAGTTAAACCTGACCTCCTTGAGTACTGGTTTTGTATGTGAAAAATCGTCTGGGACTTCCAGGGAATGGGTACCCCAAGGCTCTGACGAGCAGCTTAGGAAGATGACAAAAGACTTTTTGAGGAACTCTCGGGGACCAAATTGGCCGCCCCCCGAAACCCTATGAAAACCCGTGTACCGTGCTGTGCGGCCCCCGACGTGCCCCGGACGTGCGGCCCCATCCTCTCTGGCCGAGGGGCCCAGTCTGGCCCAGGAGTGCAACAGCGAGGAGCTTTCAAGGTGCAAGGAGTCCAACACCAAAGGCAACGAGTCGAAGCATACCATACTTCTCACGAACGAGGAGAAGTCCAGATCCACGTGATCCAAGACCAACGACATGAAGTCCAGCCACACCAGCCCACAGACCAACGAGGTGGAGTCCAAGCGCGCCGAGCTCCTGAGCGACGACGAGCTGCCGGAACGCGTAGAGTCCGAAGTGGACAAGGACGGTCCCGAACACACGGTCGAGCGTGCGGACAACGTGAGGCCCAAGGTCACAGGATCCGAGGCCGGCGAGGAGCTGTCAGGGCGAGCGCACTTGAAGATGAAGAGCGTGAAGTCCAGACGATCAAAGCTCCGCAAGGAGGGCAAGAGGTCCAAGTGCACCGTGTCTGAGACGGAAGGCATCAAGCCCAAGCGAACGAGGCTGCGCGCCAAGGGGGACAGATCGGGTTGTGCAAGGTCTAAGACTGGAAAGGAGAAGCCCATCCAAGCCGTGCTAAAGACTGAGGAGGTCAAACCAGGACAAGACATGCTGCGGATCGGCAGCGACAGGCCAATGTGTCCAAAGTCGGAGACTAGCAACATGAGCTCTGCCCGCACGAAGGAGCGCACCAACAGGAAACTGTCGAGATTCAAAAAGTCCAGCACTAAGAGAGAAGAACCGCACCTGCTGCGAGAGAAGACCAACAGAGCGGATCCCAAATGTAAAAGGCTTTGAGCCAACAGCAAGAAGCCCAGATTCAGAAGGTCCGAGGCCGAAGTCGCTGAGCCGAAGCGCGAAGTGCTGAAGAGGAACAGAAGGAAGCCTAAGCGTCCCATGGATCGTACTGGCAGGACCGAGTCGAAAGCACCGAGGTCCAAGGTGAAAGGTAACAAGTCGAAACGTGCCAAGGAGAAGGCCAACATCGTGAATCCCAAGCAACTATGGCCCCTGACGGGCATCAAGGGTTCCAAGTACAAAGGGTCCAGTACTGAAGCTGAGGACTCAAAGGTGCAGCGAGCGCACGCGAAGGGTGCGGAGCCCGAGCAAGTCATGCTTCTGATGGACGGCATGAGGTCCGGACGGACGGGATTCAGGACGAAGAGTGGAGAGTCCGTGCGCACGGGCGATCGCACCAACGATGGAAGGCCTAGGGTGACAGGATCCAAGGCAAACATGGAGAACTCCAAGAATACTCTCGAAAGCACTGGAATGGCTGAATCAGATCACACATATCCTTGGACTGAAGTCAGAAAGCCCGACTGCAAGTAGTCTAAGGCAAAGGAAGAGGGTTCGAAGCAGCACCTGCCAAACATCAACAAGGAGAAACCCATGTAAGAACTGCATCTGGCTGATGTCATGGATTCCAGATGCAAAAGATCCAGCACCGACATGGACAACTCCATGCGGGGCACGCTGAAGGTCAAAGGCGACGAGTCGGGTCGTGTAAAGCTTCTTAAAAGCGATGTTAAGCCCAATTGCAGCCAGTCCAAAATGAACAATGCCAAGTCCATGTAGGCAAGACTCTTCAGCAACAAGAAGAGTTCTAGATGTGCAAAGTCCAAGGCCAACAAGGAGAGTTCAAAGCTGACTCGACTGAAGGCCGACAGGAAGAATCCCAGCTTGGCAAAGCTCTGGACCGAGGGGTTGAAGCCGAAGCGCGCCCAACCGAAGGCCAAGGAGGTGAAGCCCAAGCGCGCCCAGGAGCGGGTCGACGACGCTGAGCCCAGCAATGCAAGGTCCAACGCCAGGAAGGGCGAACCCAAGCGTACGGCGTCGAAGGCGGGCGGGGTGAAGCCCAGGTGCAGGGAGCTGTGTGACGACGAGGGAAGTTCGAGCTTGGACACGTCCGAAACCGAAGACAATGGATCTGAGCAAACAAGGCTTTGCACTAAAGGCAAGGAGCCCAAGGACACCAAGTCCAGAACTGATATGATGGAGCCAGGCTCAACCAAACTGAAGGTCAAGATGGTGAGGCCCAAGCGGGCAAGGGAGTGCAAGAAGAACGGGGAGCCCAGATTTTCAAGGTCCAATGCCAACGAGGCCAACTCAAGCTTCACCCTGTCAAAGACCAAGGGTGCGGAGTCCAGGTAAGCCATGCTGTGCGGGAACGGAAAAAATCCCAACAGATTGCAATCCGAGACTGAAAGCCCTAAACCAAAACATGCCATGCCAAACAAGGACATCATCGGCTCAAGTGCTGTGAGGCTGTGGAGGGACAGGACGAAGTCTAATGTCACCATGTCAAGCACCAAAGTTGAAGATCCCAAACAAATCTTGCCAAAGGCCGAAGGCATCAATCCTGCTTGAGCATGGCTGTGCAAGGAAATGCACAGGCCCAGGTGCAAGAAGTCCAAGACCGGAGCTGGAGACCCCGTGCTGCTAAAGCGGAAGACTGGCATGATCAAGTCCAAGTATGTGAGTGATCTCAGGAACAGGGACAGTTCCAGTAAGCTGCAGTCAAAAGTCGATAAGATCAATCCCAAGCAAGTTAATCCAAAGACCAGCAGGGCCAAGTCCACTTGCCCGTAACTTCTCAGCAGGAAAGAGGGGCCCAGATTGAGGTAGTCTAAGATGGGGAGTGTTCCTTCGCCCTTACGGGCTATCCCAAAGACCGACAATAGAAATCCCAGTTGCCCAGTACTGTGCAGCAGCGAGAAGAAGCCCAAGCTGGCGCAATCGAAGACCAACGAGAAAGAGCCCAGACGTCCAGCGCCAAACGACAAGGAGCTTAAGCCCATGCGCGCGAAGCCCTTCATGAACAAGAGCAAGCCCAAATGCAAGGGGTCCAGTGCCAGCGACAAGGGTTCCGTTCGTCCACATCCGAAGAGTAACAAGGCCAATGCCAAATGGCCCATCGAATGCAGCGACAGTAAAGGCTCAAGGCAAGAGGCATCCAAAATCGATGAAGAAAAGCCAAAGGAGGCAGTGCCAAAGACTAACATGGAGCTACCAAACAGTCCCATACTCCTCAGTGAGGCGCTCAAGCCAACGCTGATGAAGTCGAAGATGGATGTTGAGAGGCCTAGGCGGGCTATGCCAAAGATCGAGGAGGCGAAGCCCAGACGTGCCAAGGAGCGTGCCAGCATCGAGCTGTCCATGATGGCGCAGTCCAAGACCAACAGGATGAAATCTACACGCGTGGAGCCGAAGATCAAGAAGGCCAAGCCTAGTCGCGCCAGGCCTTGCAAGAACAAGATGGAGCCCAAGCTCAAGCAGTCAAAGGCCGGGGGCAAGAAATCGAAACGTGACAGACTAAAGGCCGACAAGATCAAATCGATATGTCCAAAGGACCTCAAAGGCAGCAGGGAATCGAGCTCCGTGCAGTCCAAGACCGACGTCACGAAGCCAGGCTTCACGAAGCCAAAGGTCAACGACGTTGAGCCGAAGCGCGCCATGGATCGGGCGAAGGAGGTGGAGTCGAAATCAGACATGTCTGAGACCAGCAAGAGAGAGCCCAGATGAGTGAATCCAGAGGTCAAGGAGGCGGAGTCCAGACATCCAAGGCCTTGGAGAAACAGGGCGAAGCCCACTTCTACCATGTCCGGAGCCAATGACAACAGCTCGAAGCGCGCCAGCCCGAAGAGTGGAATGGCTGAGCCAAAGTCGGCCAAACTGTGCAGAGATACTGAGGGGCCAGGGTCGATGCAGTCAGGCGCCAAAGGAGAAAAGTCCAAACGAGATCTGCTGAAAGTGAAAAATGTCGACTCTAGCTGCCCAAAGGATCTCAGGAACAGCATCAGTCCCGAGTGCAGGAAGTCCAACACAAACAAGAAGAAGTCAGAAGTACCCATGCAAGATGCCGAGAAGGTGAAGCCTAAGTGTGCAAGGGATCGAATTGACAGGGTGGACTCGAAGCCTGCAAAGTCCAGAACCAATAACCTCAGATCTACTCGCATGGCTCCAAAGAGTAAAAGGCACAAGTCCGACCTCCCAGAGCTTCGAGTGGACAGCAACAACTCCACCAGCCCGAAATCAAAGAGGAAAAGCATCAATCCCGGTCGAGCAACGCCAAAGAGCAACATCAGAAAACCTAGTTGGTTTAGAGCTCGAACCAACAAGAAGAGCCCCGAGTTCAAAGGATCCAGCGCCGAAGCTGACGAGTCATAGCGCGCCCGTTGGAAGGTCGAGGTGGCCAAGCCCAAACATGCAACAGACCGAAGTGATGGCAAGGAGCCGAAGCAGACATGGTCCGAAACCAACATGGCCAAGCCGGACCTCACGTGGCTCCGTACCGGGAGCGGCAAGTCCAAAGTCACGAGGTCCAACACCAAGAGGGAGGGTGCGAGTCGGGTCTGCGAGAAGACCAGCAACATGAAGCCCAAGTGAGCATATGACCTCAAGGATGACAAGAAGCCCAGCCGGAAGAGATCCAACGACAACAAGGCCGAGCCAGGGCGTACCATGCTCCGGGCCGACGACGACGAGCCCATGCTGACGCCGTCCAGCGCAGGAAGTGTGAGGCCGAACTTCACCACGCCCACCACCAGCGTGGCCAAGCCCGAGCGTGCAGAGCTGCGGGGCGACAAGGAGAGGCCGACGTGGTAGGCGTCAAAGGCGAAGGCCGTGAGATCAAAACAGGCTAAGCCCCAAGTCGATAAGTAGGAACCGACTTGTGCCACAGATCGAATTGATACGGTTGGATCAGAGTGGGTGAGATCCAAGGCTAACAGGCTGAGCTCCAGACGCACGAGGCTTCGTACTGGCAGCAGGAAGTCTAAGACCGCCAAGTCCAGCAGAGGCTGTGTGAACCCCGGTCGCGTCGAGCTGAAGACCAAGGAGCTGGGTCCCAAGCGTTGAAGGCTTTTCGGCGACAGGGAGAACTCCAGCTGTGTGGCGTCAAGAACCAGCAAGCAAAAGCCAAAGCGTGCACAAGAGAAGAGCAATGCTGTGAGGTCAAACTGAGTAAAACTCTTCAATAAGACGGTCAGTTCCAGCTTCGTAGGGTCAAAAATCGACAAGGAGCTGTCCGGGCGAACGGAGCTACGTGCTGGCAAGGCAAAACCCAATTGAGCGAAATCCAGTAGAAACGGCGAGGAGCCCAAGCATGTGATTCCACCCACCAAAAAGGCCAAGTCCACTTAGCCATGACATCGCAAAAGCGTGGACAAGCCCAGCCGCAAGTAGTCCAAGACCAAGGCAGCCAAGTCCACGCACGCAAGGCTTTGCAGCAATGAGCCCGAGTCCAACTGCAAATAATCCAAGACCAACAGGCACGAGTCGATGCGGGTGCCCCCAAAAATCGACGAGCCCGGGCCCGGGTGTCCGAAGCTCTTGAGCAGCGCCACGAATCCCAAGTGGACCAGATCCAAGATCAGGAGCGAGAAGCCCAGATGCGACTTCCCAAAAATCGAAGAGCTGCTCTCCAAGCGTGCGGAGCTCCGCGACGGCGACGAGGAGCCAAAGGCCGCGCGGTCCAAGACGGGCAGACAGGACTCCAAGCGAGTGATGCTCCAGACCGAAAACACCGAGCCCGAGCGTGCAGCGCCTTGGACCAACAAGGACAAGCCCAGATGCAAGAGGTCCAGGACAGAGACCGCGAGGTCTAAGCAAGCAAAGCTTCTTGCAAAGAGCGAGGGTTCCAAAACCCCGAGATCCAAGGCAAACGGCAACAGGTCCAAACGCATCGGCTGGTGAATCAAGAAGGCAAAGTCAGTGTAAGCAAGGCTTTGTAAAGAGAGGGTCAAACCAAACCATGCAAGGCTTCGCGTCAAAATCGTGGAGTCTGAATGAAGGAAATCCAGCACAAACGTCACCGGCCCCATTCGTGCAAGGCTTTGTGTGGATGGCGAAAAGTCGAGGTTCAAGAGGTCCATGGTAAACATCGGAAAGTCGAATCGACAAAAGCTTTGAGTCAATAGAAGTGGTCCAATGTGAACAGGATCAAGGATCAATGGGGGCGAGTCAAATTGGACTTTCTTGAAGACCAAGAAGGCCGACCCCGGCCTCGCAGGCGACCGCGACGACGACGCCGAGTCCAAGTGCAAGAAGTCCAAGGCCGAAGCCAAGAACTCAAAGCGCGCGACGTCGAAGGTGGACGACGAGCTTCCCGGCCGTCCCGGACTGCGTAGGGACGACGTGAAGTCCGGGTGCGAGGAGTCCGGCACCGATGCCGTGGAGCCGAACCGCGCCAGCCCGGAGGCCGACAGCATGGAGCCAGAGCGGCCGAAGCAACGGG